GGGTGTGCGGTAGGGGAGGGGGTGGTGCAGTCTGACCAGAACCTCCGGAGTCTGAAACTAGAGTGTATGATCCCCCCCCCCCCCCCGGGGTTGAAACTAAAGTTTTTGTCCCCCCCCCCCCCCAGAAGTCATGGTTAACAATTCCACTTCTACTTATTTCTAGAAATGTGTTCAACTCCCGATTCATGTATTTCATCTCAAGTAGATAAAGTAGATCATGTGATTAAACAAAAATATTCTCACTCTCATATCTCTCCTCCATCTCAGCTCTCTTTCTACCAACTCTCTCTCTCTCAGTCTCTCTCTCCCTCTCCCCCCTCTCTCTCTCTCTGTCTCTCTCTCTGTATATATATAACAGCATACTCATGTTAAACCATTCAGTCAACGTAGATGGCACATTGTTTCAATGCGTGTTAATCTCCTATTTGAAAACACTTTCAGGTCAGAAGACGTTTCGGTTCGAGGCAACTGTCGACCATTTTCTTAAAGTCACCGTTTGACATGTCCTCCTGTAGCTGACCCATGACCTCCTGTAGCTGACCCATAACCATCTGAAGCTGACCCGTAACCACCTGTAGCTTATTCCGTGACCACCCTGTAGATGACCCATGCCCACCTGTAGCTGACCCATGACCACCTGTAGCTGACCCATGATCACCTGTAGCTGACCCATGACAGGCCGAAGCTGATCCACGAGTCGCCGGAATGAACTTCGCCCAGTACCCACCTGGCCTGGATCAACAGGAAAGCCCTGCTCAAGATCTGGGTGAGTCAGAAGCTAGACACACATTCAAACGTTTCTTTTTTTGTCCTTCATGTTACTGAAAGAAAAATCACAATGACGGCTTGGAAAGTCATAATTGACATCCTGGCGAAACATCTGAGTAGCCTAATGGGCTAGAAATACATAAATGTGGTCTATGGTCACGACATAGCAATGGCCTAATGGCTTAGAAATAAATAAATTAATGGTGTCTATGGTTACGACACATCTCATTATGGTTTAGAAATAAATAAAGGGTGTCTATGATTATGACACATAGCAATGGCCTAATGGCTTAGAAATACAAAAAATGGTGTCTATGGTTACGACACATAGCAATGGCCTAATGGCTTCGAAATACAAAAATGGTGTCCATGGCTACGACACATAGCAATGGCCTAATGGCTTCCAAGGATAGTAAACGATTAAAGAAAAAAAGAAGTTAACTTGAGAAATAATTTCTCTGAGGTCGCTCGTTTCCTAACAATAAGATTTCGTCCGTTTGCTGTGTGGGGCCCGCTGCTCTGTTTGCAGATTCCGTTAGCCTTATTTTATAGATCCAGTTTGTCTGTTTTTTTTAGAGATTCCTTTATTTGTACCGGTATTGTAGGTAGGCATTAATACGCTGTTTTGTTCATTCCTGAAAACTTTGGTTAAGGGATCCCCCCCCCCCCCGATGGGTTTTGGGTGGGGGTGTCGAGGGGGGCGGGAAAACCCATAAAATCAGCTTTTTGTGCATATTTTTAAGCATTTTTTTTTTAATCGGTTGGTACGGTGTGTGGGAAGTTGTGTTTATTTAAATCAAGACGGGATGGTGCGCACCAAAAAGGACTAAGAATATCTGCTATAGTTGCATGAATGTTTTGTGTATTATGATGTGCGTTTGTGTTGGGTGTCATGTGAGATTTTGGTGTGGTTTTGTTTATGCATGAGGAGAATATGTTAGGTGATTGTATTGTGTTGTAGGATTCGTGTTGATCTAATTCTTAAATGTGTTGAAATATCTCCTTATCCACTCACCCACCCCTTCAACCCCCCCCCCCCCTTTTCACTTTTTGGTGTGGTTTTGTTTATGCATGAGGGGAATATGTTAGGTGATTGTTTTGTGTTGTAGGATTCGTGTTGATCTAATTCTTAAATGTGTTGAAATATCTCCTTATCCACTCACCCACCCCTTCAACCCCCCCCCCCCCTTTTCACAGATTACAATCTTGTGGTAGTCGCCAACGTTAGCGCATGTGCTGTCCTGCTGCTCGTGACCATCTCTTGCATCTGTTGTGTCAAGTAAGTGCACATTTTTAGAAAGTTTTCTTCATCCAATTCTTTAAGTGGTGCATTCTTTTATTTTTTGTTGTTGTAATTTTCGCGCACATTTTTGTTTTCTACACAAACCTTCTGGCCCTTGTTGCTGATTGTAAGGCTCTGTCAAGTCTAGAATCACTTTAAGATATGTCTGTCATTGCCTTCAATGTCTTGCTCACTATTCGTGTCAATGAGCTTAATCCTGTGTAGTATAATCAAATAGTGTAGTATAATCAAGTATGGTAGTAGAATCAAGTGGGGTAGTACAATCGAGTAGTTAGTAGAATCAAGTAGGGTAGTACAATCGAGTAGGTAGTAGAATCAAGAAGGGTAGTACAATCGAGTAGGTAGTAGAATCAAGTAGGGTAGTACAATCGAGTAGGTAGTAGAATTAAGTAGGGTAGTACAATCGAGTAGGTAGTAGAATCAAGTAGGGTAGTACAATCGAGTAGGTAGTAGAATCAAGTAGGGTAGTACAATCGAGTAGGTAGTAGAATCAAGTAGGGTAGTACAATCGAGTAGGTAGTAGAATCAAGTAGGGTAGTACAATCAAATAAGTTTCACAATCAAGAATGGTCTTGTTAGACATCTGAGTTTGTTGGCCACAATTGACTTAATTTTAAAGTACTGCATTGTCTAACATTGTGATTCTCTCTCTCTGTCTGTCTCTGTGTGTGTCTCTCTCTCTCTCTAACTTCCTTATACTTCCCTCACTCTCTCATACCCCCTCCGTCTGTTTTCTTGTTCGCGTCAAATTACTCTAATATCTTCCTCTCTAAATTATCAATTTTCTCAGAATTTGAAATTTTCTAAGTAAATAACTGCATATTATTTAAAAAAAGCAGCAATGACTTATTGTGTGATAGCGCAGTCACTGAAACTAAAGAATTTCTAGAATACAAAAAAAAAATAAAAAACAAACAAAAAAACAAACAAACTAACCGCGTAGCATCATAAAGTGTTTCTCTTCTGTCTTATGGCTTTTCTATTTCAAAATTTTAAATTTTTTAAATAAAAAACTGCATATTATTTAAAAAAAGCAGCAATGACTTATTTTGTGAAAGCGCAGTCACCGAAAAAAAAAAATTTCTAAAAAACAAAAAAAAAAAAAAAAACAAACAAAAAAACAAACAAACTAACCGCGTAGCATCAAAAAGTGTTTCTCTTCTGTCTTATGGCTTTTCTATTTTATTCGTCAGACGCAGACCCTTACAAGGTCGTAGCGAGTACAGCAGCTATAGCCACACTCTTGACCATGTCCCACTGGAAGATCTCCTCAGCAAGCCCCCGCTGGCCGACCCGGAGTCCGTCTTCAGCGAGGCGTCCTACGACGACCGACTGTCAGACCACACCACCAGCAGGATGACCCTCATCAGCGACGGCAGCGGCGGCAGCCACGATTACCTCAGCCCGCCCCACCAGGGCCCGGACCGCAACGAGCCCTCGCACCATAATGCCTCCCTCAAACCCCACCAGCCCGGGGACGCCACTGCCCATTTCAACTCCACGAGAAAGTGGAGCAGCGAGAAACTGAAAGTCAACAGGGCCGCGAGGCCGACTCGAGGTCAGGAGAAGGACGCGCAGCGCCACAGCGTGCAGCCAGATTTGATTCCACTTCCAACCATACCAGACGACCGTTCGGAAACCTCAAGCCTTCAAAGTCCCGAGACTCTCTCGACGCAAAGCCCCGCTTCTAACCTCACCCCGGAGACAGCCAAGAAGCAAAAATCCAGCAAACCTCCGTTCGAGAGTCCAACTTTAGAGCGGTCGGGATTGAAGATCCACAGGGATTCGATTAAACCCGAGTGCTACACGCTCTCCAGCTCGACGCGCTGTAGCTTCAGCCACGAGTTAGGACATGTCGCTCACGGGAATAAAATCCCTAGAACCAGTTTGCCGAGGACCGAAGAGGGTGAGGACGTCAAGTGTACGGCGGATGGCAACACTTCAAGTGCGGCAAACACCACGTGTCACATCACGTCCGGTCAGACCACGGGCGTCTGCGCGAGCAACACTACCGTAAGCAGTGGTTTGTCTCTGGACAAAACCGGTATGGACGCGTCACAGTTGAGTAAATCTCAGAGCGATGACGTGATCTCGTATGACAAACCCGAGCACGAGTGTGAGGCTCGAACCGTCAACGCGATTACGGGAGATAACCAGAAAAACGTTGTGACAACGAGTAACGCTAACGCTGCTCTCCCTTCGCGAATCGTCCTCCCCACAAGTATTAGCATCGACGGGAGTTTGCCGACGCTTTGTGACTCATCTGTCGAGGACAACTCCCGCGACAAGTCATCCAGTGGAGGCGAGAACGAGGGCGTTGCCTTGCGGAGGTCTTTCTCATTTGCAAACAGCGACCTGCCGAATAGTGGGCGCGGCACCTCAAAGACATTCAGCCTCAACCTGAAGATCAATTTTCACTTCGGAAACGAAAAAGATGATGCGGATGTACCCCGTGCTGGATGTGCCACTGTACCCCGTGCTGGATGTGCCACCATCCAAGAATGTGGCTTGCCCTCAGTGAAAGGGGACCATGTGGCTCAATCTCTGGCTTCCAGGGTTTCGAATCCAGATATGTGTGGCAAAACCTTGGATGATGTTAAGAATAAAACTGACGTTAAAGAAAAGTGTCAGGACAAAGTGTTGGCAGATGACGCGCCGAACATAAATAGCCAGCCAATGGCGGGAAGGGAGAGATTATCCGAACCAATCACGTCAGAGGTTGAAACTGCCATGCGGCGCAGCAATAGCCAATCAGCAAGCAGGAGGTTCTCCTTAGCAGAATCGCGGGCCGGCAGGGAAAGGAGCTCAACAAATAACGACAAATTACCCCACTCTGCCGTCCATAAATCTTCTATCAAAAATTTACCCGAGCAAAGAGTCAAGGGCTCAAAATCGGACAAGTCTGAGCGGGGTGTTCAAAAGAAAGATGAAAATATGAACACGATTTCCGACGGAGAGACAAATGTGAGCTTTGAACAGAAAACTGAACGCGCTTCAAGCGACGACAGTCTCGATCTCAACACCAAGTCAAACGTGACGGGATCGGACAGCATCAGTTCTGATGCCGAGTCCACCGGCTCCTGGAAGTCCGCCACCAAACTCCAGAGAACGAAGCCTATAATCATTGACATCAGATCGCCACAGCTGAGGCGACCCGTGGTCACGAAAAAGAAGACATTGATCGAAAGCTGTGAGGCCAATCTAAGGAACGCGCCAAGCACGGCCACTCCAGCATCTCCCGTGGTCATTGATGGGTATGTTGATCCAGGACAATTCACAAAAAATGAGAGACGTGAGAGGACTAACGGCTCGGAATCCTCAGCAAATGAAAGTGCACCGGATATTGCGGCACAGGAAATAGACGGGGGTGGTGCTAAAGTTAAGGAAGCATGTAAACTAACAGCCCATGACGATATTACATCGAACCAACATAATGTCGTCCCCATAAAAATTGCAGAAGAAAATCTTTCGCCTAATTCAGAACTCAGTGGTTCCGTTGTGGAAAAAGCAAAACTTTCCCGGACTAAGGACGTCGAGTCTGTCCACAGGCAACAGGAAACTAGCTCAGGGAATAGGAGAAAGGCCATGTTTTTCACACCTGTAGATGCACGGGAAAAAACTCCCGAAGTCGGCGATAACTTCAACAGCCAGACAAAGGTGGACGATGCAGGCCAAGAGAATGCCGAGACCAAGTCTTACAAGCCCGTGGCCTTGCCGCGACGCAAGAACCCACCTCAAGCCAAAGACGACGGACAGGTCATTAAAACAGAATTGCACAAATCGATATCAGACAGCGATGCCGGCTACCGCTCTGCGGCGGTGAGAGACACGACCAGATCCAACACGCTGCCGTCCAGAGGCAACAGCTTGATACCAGTGGTGATCGTTGACGATGAAACGGACGACACGGCCTCAAGTGATGACGACGACCAGGAGGATCACAACGAACTTCCGGCCGCGGTGAGCCCCAGCAAGATGAGAAATAAAAACTTGGACGCCAGCGACGACAGCGACTACGACAACCCATGGGACAACCTGGACGACGCCGTCAAGAGGGCGTCGATCCGCTACAACCGGCGCCCCAGCCGGCTCGCCGCAGGAACCAAGACCCTGTTGCTCAAGTCCGCAGAAGACCTCGGCAGACTTTTGGAAGAGGCGGAGAAAAAGCGGCGCCTCCGGTCGGACGGAAGTCACGGTGAGATGCTCTCCCCCGAGGAAGACGATGCCGAAACACCGATAATTCCGTTCACGAGGTTTTCCCCTTACAGGCACACGGTCAAAGGAATAGTGTCTGAAACCAATATGGCGGCATCCCAATCGACAGAAGACATACTGAAGAACTCAAGACAGGACTACACCAGGCTGAGCCTGCTGAGGAAGGAGGCCGCCAAGGAAACTTTAAATAAAGGAGCCGAGCCTCGCCGACCGCAGTCGATGACGTCAAAATTAAAAACTATAATCTCGAGCCCCGAAACGAAACATCGCAAAAACTAGACAACACATTTTGGAGACGAGAGTTATTGAGTTTTATTTCAATGAAGAGAGAACATTCAATATTGAGGAAAGCATTCAATAATATAAATAGCATTCAAACAAAATTATAGATATTATTCAGTGTTACAGACATCATTCAATATTACAGACATCATTCAATATTACAGACATCATTCAATATTACAGACATCATTCAATATTACATACATCATTCGATATTACATACATCATTCATTGCTACAGACATCATTCAGTATTACAGACATCATTCATTATTACAGATATCATTCAATATTACAGACATCATTCAGTGCTACAGACATCATTCAATATTACAGACATCATTCAGTGCTACATAAATCATTTAATATTACAGACATCATTCAATATTGCAGACATCATTCAGTGTTACAGACATGATTCAATATTACAGACATCATTCAATATTGCAGACATCATTCAATATTACAGACATCATTCAATGTTACAGACATCATTCAATGTTACAGACATCATTCAATTTTGCAGACATCATTCTGTGCTACAGACATCATTCAGTATTACAGACATCATTCAATGTTACAGACATCATTCATTGTTACAGACATCATTCAGTATTACAGACATCATTCAATGTTACATACATCATTCCGTATTGCAGACATCATTCAATATTACAGACATCATTCATTATTGCAGACATCATTCAGTATTACAGACATCATTAAATGTTACAGACATCATTCAATGTAATAGACATCATTCAGTATTACAGACATCATTCAATGTTACAGATATCTTTCACTGTTACAGACATCATTCAAAGTTACAGAAATCATTCAATGTTAAAGACATCATTTAATTTTAAGCAGAAAACATTTAAAGCCCGATTATTTCACCCCCCCCCCCCCCAAAAGGGAAGCAATTGGGAGAAAACAAGAACAGCTTTGTTTACTTATCTCCCATGAATATTACACTGCCCAACATATCTCGTGTTTGGGTCAACCGATGGGCACACTTTATTGAATGTATGAGTGAACACAAAGATGGCATGATGGCCACGTACAGTACTGTAAACATTACATTGTGATGGCAATGTACAGTACTGTAAACATTACATTGTGATGGCCATGTACAGTACTGTAAACATTACAATGTGATGGACATGTACAGTACTGTAAACATTACAATGTTATGGGCATGTACAGTACTGTAAACATTACAATGTGATGGCCATGTACAGTACTGTAAACATTACAATGTGATGGCCATGTACAGTACTGTAAACATTACATTGTGATGGACATGTACAGTACTGTAAACTTTTACAATGTTATGGCCATGTACAGTACTGTAAACATTACAATGTGATGGACATGTACAGTACTGTAAACATTACATTATGGGCATGTACAGTACTGTAAACATTACAATGTGATGGCCATGTACAGTACTGTAAACATTACAATGTGATGGCCATGACTTCATGAACTGTATTCTGCTTTGTGCACCCGAAACCTGCCATATTTGCCTACAGGTATTCATTGTTGAACTTCTTCTTCTTCTTTTTTTTTTTTTTGTTATGACTGTTTTTATACATTTATTTATTTTTTTGTTGTTAGTGCCTGAAACCTACTGTTTAAATTTTCTATCAACAATGCACGTAATTACACCTTCTATTATTACCACTCAGAGTTTTAATGTCACTTTTCTTTTAAAAATTACAATGTGATGGCCATGATTTTATGAACTGTATTCTGCTTTGTGCACCCGAAACCTGCCATATTTGTCTATAGGTATTCATTGTTGTTCTTCTTTTTCTTCTTTTTTTTTTTTTGTTATGACTGTATTTATACATTTATTTATTTTGTTGTTGTTAGTGCCTGAAACCTACTGTTTAAATTTTCTATCAACAATGCACGTAATTACACCTTCTATTATTACCACTCAGAGATTTAATGTCACTTTTCTTAAGCCACGTTTCACATGCTGTGCCTTATGCCAAGTCTTTCAGCTTGCAGCGTAATCTTTTTTTTTTCTTTCTTTGTTAAGGAATTATTTATTGTTCCTATGCAACATGCAACATGGCTTTCCATCAAAAATTGCCAGAACTTTTTAAGTGGCCAACTATTATAGTTTTCATCAATGGCACGGTCTAACTTCAGTAAGAATTCCCAATGTTTTGATTAGCGTCGTTTATTCCAGTCAAGACTTTAAATCTAGAACAAACATTATTTTTTTGTTTCGATAAATGCATATATATATATATATATATATATATATATATATATATATATATATATATATATATATATATAT